TGCCTTATCTATTTAATCCCTCGCTCCGTCCTCTGCCAAGGGAACGTCAGGTTTAATCGCTATCGGTGCATCTTCTCAGCTACGAACGATGACTGTCAGCGACGCTTCCAACGGTACTTCCAACCGCCAGGCCCTGGACTTGACCGTCCTGGGCTTGAACAGCGGCACATCAATGGTGAGTAGGAACGAAATTATCGCAAAAATAGAGGACTCACAGACTTGCAGGATGGAATTGATTGCGCCCTTTGCCATTTCCGCCAGGAGACTCCGGAGTCTCCCATGCATTTCGAGCTTCTCAAGGTACGTCTGACAGTATCCTCAACCACGACAGTCAGTGCGACAACTAACGCACATGGCCTTGTTAGTATGGCGAGATCCCCCTCGAGCAGACCATCAAGAAGCGGGTTATGAACATGATCCTTCACAATAAGACCTCCCCGTCGGAGCTATCGGAAGTAAACGTCATTCTGGGAGAAACATTTGCAGCTGCCGTCAAGCAGTTTTGCCAGGACCACGAGGTTGACATCTCGACGATCGATGTGATCGGATCTCACGGTCAGACCATCTGGTTGCTCTCCATGCCGGAGCCAGGCGAAGTACGCAGCGCGCTCACCATGGCCGAAGGCACTTTCTTGGCTTCTCGCACCGGAATCACCACCGTCACGGACTTTAGAGTCAGCGACCAGGCTGCTGGTCGCCAGGGCGCGCCGCTGATCGCCTTCTTCGATGCCTTGCTACTACACCACCCGACCAAGCTGCGCGCCTGTCAGAACATTGGCGGGATCGCCAACGTATGTTTCATCCCGCCTGACTCGCACGGTGGAATCGATGCCTGCTACGATTTCGACACCGGCCCGGGCAATGTTTTCATCGATGCGGTGGTCCGCCACTACACCAACGGCGAGCAGGAGTATGACAGGGACGGTGAGATGGGCGCCCGCGGCACTGTCGACCAGGAACTCGTCGACGAATTCCTCCAGAACCACCCCTACTTCCGTCTCGACCCGCCCAAGACCACTGGCCGTGAAGTCTTCCGTGACACCATTGCATTCGAGCTCATCCGCAAAGCGGAAAGCAATGGACTCAGCCCAGACGACGTGGTCGCCACCGTCACCCGCATCACAGCCCAGGCCATCGTGGACCACTACCGTCGCTATGCGCCCAAGGACCTCCAGATCGATGAGATCTTCATGTGCGGCGGCGGAGCCTACAATCCCAACATCACCAAGTATATCCAGAAGCACTATCCAAAGACGCGCATCGTGATGCTGGACGCTGCCGGCATCCCCGGCGGCGCCAAGGAGGCCATCACTTTCGCCTGGCAGGCCATGGAGGCGATTGTTGGCCGTTCTATCCCCGTCCCTACCCGTGTCGAGACCCGGCAGGAATATGTTCTGGGCAAGGTATCACCGGGCAAGAACTATCGGAAGGTGATGCGACAGGGTATGTTGTTCGGGGAAGGGCGCGACCATCTCTCACCGGTGAGTGAGATGGTCAATTATGTCAAGGGCGAGGTGTTCGACAATAAATGGTGATACGGGCTCATAGGTATGAATATAAATGTATTATAGAATGAACACAATGATTTATGATAAGTTTGCTGTTAGTAAATAATGAGGAGTTTGGCTTGACCTGTTGAGCTACATGACCACGGTACAATGAGAAAATAAGATTAAAACCGTCTCCTTGGCTGTAGTAGAGCAAGATTACATAGTAGTATTTCAGATCTTCTATGACTGTTTGACACTGTTCCAAGCATGGTATATATATATTTGTCGGCCAATGCGATGGAGGACCTATAAAGTTACAGCTAAATACCTCAAGTAGATCAAGAACAAATATAACTTTCTAATATTAAGTAAAGAAGAAACTATGTCCATACAGGTTCACAGCCAAAGTACGGATTGTCAAAATATCAGTCCTTAACCTGTACCCGTAGTTAGGACCTACAGCTCAGCATGGGCTGCAGAAGTGTCAGTGTGGGGTACTCTGGGGAAATGATTATACGTACATACATCCATAAGAATGCCAAGTATTCGCCTAACCTAAGGTAGTTGTTCCCGTATTCCGAGTTTTTACCGTGTCCTGCCGAGCTACGTATCCCTCCCTTGCCACTTAATAGCAATAGCAGGGAAAGTGCGGAATACCTCGTTAGCTTTCTATGTAATTGGTCAGCCACCGCCACTGCAACCGACACCACGGATCGTCAGTTCGACGCGTTTAACAGTTTAACAGCTCCATTTTCACGCTCTACCCTAGCGTACTACCTAGTCTCAGACCATCGTGAGAATGTCGCAACGTCCGCGGAAATTTCAGCGTGCTTCTAAGGCTTGTTAGTGGCTCCTATCAAGGACATATGCTGTTGTTTCTTCTCTAACATCTTAATAGGTGACTTCTGCCACAGACGTAGCATAAAATGCAATAAGATCAGCGGCCCTCTGGCGCCCTGCCAGAACTGCGCGGACTTTGATATACAGTGTACATTTGATCGTCCCGCCAGGAGGCGAGGTGCTCCGAGAAATGCCAGTTTAGCAGAAACCCAGTCTACTCGGCCAGTCGGCTTGGATGCTGGTGCAGGATCATCCTTGTCGCATTCAGCTCGTCCTGATGTTGTCAGACAGGCTGGCGCTGCTGATTCACCTTGGGACATTCTGAATGGCACCTGGACGACCGCTCCAACTTCCAATGACGGAACGTTGGTAAATTCGTGGAAAGCATTTGCTATTGGCTGTCAGAGCACTATTCACGATCTCGCTCACGTCTATTTCGAGATTGTATATCCCATGTATTTATCTCCTTATCCAACAACGCCGGGACAGCTGGGCTAATGGCCTTAGATTTCCCCTGTTTCATCGGTCGTCATTCCTGATGCAGCTGGAAAACAGAGAGTACCTGAAGAATCGGGGGTTATTCGCATCGACGATGGCCATGTGTGCCTTGGCCTCCGCACGGGCTCGTGACGGGGCCCTGTATTCAAAGCGCTGGTGTCCCTCGCAACTAGCAAACCCTCCCTCCGAGGTCTTTTGCGCTGCGGCAAAGGAATCCATTCCGCGAGACCTGGCCGCAGCGAAGGGTACCGAATACCTGAGGACATGTGCCATTCTCAGCATTGCCGGTATCCAGAATGGACAAATCCAGGACATGCAACAGTACACGGGCATCTACCATACGCTGAGTGCAATGGAAGGGCTGCACGATGAGAAGCTATGGCCCAAAGATTTGAGCCCGGTGGAGGTTGAGGTCCGGAGAAGGATGGTACGTAAGCGTTTCCACCGTCCCATCATCTGCGTGCATAATACTCCGAGTCTAACAGCTGTGCTAGTTCTGGTCCATATATACGTTGGATGTCTATTCGTCCATCGTATGGGGCGGAGTCATCCGCTACCGAGAAGCGCAGTCTAATGTGCAGTATCCGAGTGATGAGGATGACGATTCTATCCCCAACATGTTGTCCGTCCAAGCGGACATTAGTGATGCATACGACAGAAAAGGACAACGGAGTCAGTGGATGCGTGGCTGGAACTTCACCACCGACCTTTATCGACTACTGGAGCATGCCGTGGATTGCCAACGACGGCGGTCGCCTTCAAACACGGACGGCAAGACCGGAGTTTGGTCGTTATTCCGTCCAGCCCCAATGTCCGCGTCTTTGGTCATGGACCACGTCCTTTCCATGTACTCCTCTCTGCCTGCGCAGTTTCGAGAAACTCCGCCAGTCACCGGCGATCCGGCTCAAGATATCGTGGGCTTCCAGTCCGCTAACATCCAAGCAACTCTGCAACTGCTGCGCATGGTTCTGTTCGCAAACGAAGACCCGGCGGCGGACGGCAAATGTGACGTCGCAGGGCAAGTCCTAAGCGTCTTTTCCAAAGTGCCAGTCGAATACCTGAAAGCTATCAGTTCTCCCTTGGTATGTTCCCTTTCTGGTCATGATTCGACCATGTGAGACTGATTCTCGAAGATGCATCATTTGGGCGGAATTGGCTATTTCCTTGGGTCGGTCATGGAAGGAAGTCTCTCGGAGAAATGTTATCGACGAGTCCGCACGCTCCTGTAGGTCATCCCCTGCAATTCCCCGCAGAGATACGCCGAGACTCATGGTGATAGATTGGAAATGGCCCAGCTTCTGCATCGGTTGGAGTCAGGGCTGCGACGGTCCACTGGTGCCAGCGAGAGACTCAAAGCGCAGGTAGGTCGCATTGACGAGTACATGCGCACGCAAGCATCGTCGAATATGTCCACGCGAAGGTCATCCTTGAACCCCGACCATATGCTGTCGGAAGATCAAGACAGCATCGCATCCATAGATGCACCTCTAAACGGGTTCGAGGACCCTCTCACTCATTTTCACCTGCCGCCAGAACTACTGGATGACTGGCCGTGGTCGTTGGATACAAGTCTGCCCGAGGGAATGTTCTCAATGCCGTTCATTAAGTGAGATGCCAACAGGCGAGGCCCTCGCTTTTCAAGAATGCGTCACTCTCCCCCGAAATTGCTCTGTGCACCACTCGGAAACAGAAGCCTTGATCGCAATGAAAGATGCAAGTTTTTACGCATTTTGGAGACCAACCCTACATATGGCTAGTTCACAAAGACGACTACGAGTCTAGCTCTCATCTTTTTCATCAGCAAATGATCCTCAGCTCTCCCAGCATATCACGCTGCAGTCATCCCGTGACCTCTCTGACCAATTTACTACTATTGGGAATGAAATAGCATCAAATTATCAGAAGGTGAAGTATCGAATCAGAAGTAGAGACATTCATCAGTTGGCTCAGCTGGGAAAAGTCATAAGCGCCACTTCACTTGTCGGTAGTTCTGTCATAGCAAATGGTACGCCTCTGGCTGTCACGATCCCGCGAGAAGGGATATAATTTGGTCTCCTGAGCGGGGAAGTGAACAAATGTTGGCCATCATGGATCATCATCGTGAAAACAATGTGCTTTTTCTTCAATTGAAATAGGCTATCCTAGCTCAACAAAGCCCCGGAAAGATTGAGACTATTTAAAGCCATTTACTTCGGGCAAGACCGCTTCAATCAAAGACACCTGGCTCCTGCAGTGCCAGATCTTCTTCAACTTCAACCCTGCCGCCTGAAGAAGGGCCTTGAATTCGGCTGGCGTCCGCTCAATTCCGTTGATACACGACATCATGGTGATATCTCGGCTGTGGCTGAACCGCGTGTGGTAGCCGTAGTTGGCCGGCAGCGGGCTCGGGGCTGACTCCAAGTCAGGGTCGCCGATGGTCGTGTTCATGACCTGATCACATATCAATAGGCGAGAGTGCGCCGCCATGCTGGAACGAATGGCGGACAGGATGCGCACGCAATAGTCGTCTGACCAGTCATGACTATTGTAGTGTGCAATGTTAGCAACAGCTGTGCAGGGAAAGGACAGCCTTACAGGACATATCGCAAAAAGTAAATATCAGCGCCCTCAGTCGGGTTTTTATTGAAGATGCTATGCTCGACAAACTGCACTCGTCGGTTCTGCAATGCCTCAAGGTTCTCCCGGGGCCAGACTTTCTCCAGCCCTTGCTTGACGACCGGGCCACGGTCTTGCACAATGAACTGCAGCTTGGGGTAGACCTTGCTCAGTTGCAGGGGGAAGCCGCCGACGCCTCCCCCGACATCAACAACCAGTGCATCGCCCAAGGAGGCCCATGGGAAATCTGCGTAATGTAAGTGAGAAATCTGATCGGATGATGTCCAAGGCGAGACCTACCGTAAACATGGGCTGTCCCAAAAACTCGCCCACCGCCAACCATGGACAGACCCATAATGTCTAGCTCTGGTCTCGCGACCAGTCCATCATCCTCCCTTGGTGGGAGCCCCAGAACCAGACTCGGAATGCCAGGATAATGGCCCCCGGATTCGAGCAATTTCTCTGGGGCCACACGCTCCTCGATCCACTCCCATCGGGTCTTTTTGGTGCAGACGGCATTCTGCCAAGCCGTCTTTGCCACATCGTAAGAGGGACCAGTGTCTGGATCCAGGAGGGTGTGTGGCAGACGATCGGAGGCCGTGAAGCCCTCACTATTCACGAGCTGAACATAGGCCCGTAAGGGCTCATTCGAGACCAATGCTGCGGAAATACCATTGTTCGCGAACGTATTCGGACCGGTTTGCTGGAAAATACCAATCGAACACAGGTATCGCAAAATGCGAGCTGAAGGATCGCGCGTCAGTCGCGCCTGTCATCACAAGAGGACCTCGCTCATGATCTGAAGCTCAGGGCAGACTCACCCAGCTTGCGAGGTTCAATTCTGGCCTTCTGGCTGATCAGATCGACATGCACGCCGTCCTCATCGCCCGCTGCGAGGAGATCAGGAATGCGCCGCTCAGCAGCGATATACAAACACCGAGATTCCTGAAACTGCGTTGCTACCTCGAGGATCCTAGCGCTTGGGTCAGACACCAACTCGGCCAGCTTGCCAACCGCTGCCAGGATGGTCCGCTGAGCATCGAATAGTTCCCGGCTAGGTAGGGTGGGGACATTCTGCTTGCGAGAGCCTTTTGATGCCTTCGCCTCTGCAGACCATTCCGCAATTATGGTCTGGACGGTGCTGGAGATAATGCTGGCTGTCTGAAGAAGTTGCGCCGCGTCACAGACAGACTTTGGTTGCCGTTCCATCTTGTTGACCTTTATTCGTTTACGCGGGTTGACCAAGGGACAATTATTCCAATACGGCGTGTCAAGGTACTTATTCAGAGGGGACGGCGTACTTTGTAAGACAAGCATTCCTCTTCGGGCGGACTCGGGGTGACACTGCTGAACATGACGCAGACCCGAGTCCCGTCCGAACTGAGGGAAAATAACCCGAGAGAAACCACCGAGCCTAAAGCACCCTAAAAAGGAGTTAAAACTGGGCCGACATTAGTCGATATGCCGATTCTTTTTAGATTGCTTGTCCGTCCAGATCCGTGCATAAAAGGTAAAGATGACTACGGACAGCGGATTGCCTTGATGTCTTTAGATTGTGCAACAGGCCGAATCATACAGGGGGAAGGATAATGTAGTGTCATAAGAGCTATGTACTTATGTGTATTCTACTGCAAACCACTTTTTCTGGCCTCCTCTGACCTCAAAAGCCACCCTCTCATCCTGTGCCAGCTTCCGCAGAACCTCGTGGACAAACGGTTCCAATGCCATTGCTCGCACCTGCTCATCCAGGTCATTTCCATGCATCGCTGTCACCAGCTGCTGGACAGTGACACTGCCTTTTCCCGGGGCTCCATTGCGTTGGTCCTCGCGTTTCATCCGCTTCAACGTCTCTACGACGCGGTCTTCCCGACGGGCCTTCTGCGTTAGCTCCGCGTCCAGCTTGGCCGGCAGGTCGTGGATCACTGCGCCGTGAGCTGGATAGCCCACCACACAGCGAAGCGATTGCATCATCCGTAGTGAGGACATCCAGGTGCTAAGCACCTCGACCGCGCTGCTCCCATGGCCCAGGATGTTGTCCCCCGTGAACATGGCGTTTTCCTCCTCGAGGATGAAACACATATGGTCGTGCGAGTGGCCTGGGGAGTGTACGGCACGGACAGTAGCCCCTTCCACCCGGAAGACCTGCCCGTCTGAAATCAACTTCTGGCCTTTCCCAGGGGTGTGCTTGTAGATAGAATCGGACAGGTAAGGGTACAATCGGAGAAGATCCGGAACGCCCCCCGTGTGATCGCCATGCCAGTGGGTCAGCAGGACATAAGACAGCTCGATCGAGGAGTCGGCCAAGGTAGACGAGATCAGGCTGGCCCATTCAGGGATCCCCTGTCCCGTATCGATAATCAGACGTTGGCGGCCGGTGCCCACGATATAGGTGTTGGTCCCTTGGAGCGTGAACTTAAGCCATTCAATTAGCCGGGAACTACATGCGCTAAAACTATGCGCTTCTGCGTACCTTGCCTTCATTCTGGCCCAGAACACGCAACACGCGGGGGCTGATTTGCTCGACATCCTCAAGCGTGGGCAGCCGAGCTTGCTGCTCGTCCAAATACCCCTCCCAGGCACATATGTTGAGGGCTTGGTTGATTTGTCGATATCCTCCTCGCTTTGCATTGGCCATGTTTATGGTTCTGATGTACGAGGGGGAGCATGTGCAACGAGCGTACAGAGAAGAATTAAAAAGGCAAAAATGAAGCAGAAAGTGCCAAAGCCAATGGTCACCGTCATAACGGCCATCGGCCTCGGCCTAATTGGACGTGAGCAAATCGGCCGGACAGTCGGACGTCCCAAGCATATCGACCGAGCTCTCTTTAGGCCGAAAGCAAGACAGACTCTGACTTCCGACCACGGCATGCCCTGCTGGGTTCGATGCATGGACAGCATATAGACATGTCCGTACGCAAAAAATCTACCCTGGCTAGACTAGAGCCTCTCTATACCTAGCTGGATCGGTCTCTAGGGTTACCAACATAGCTACATCGACTTCCCACAATAGCGTGAAATTGAGCCGGTGATAGTAGCGACGATGAGGCCAGTAGACTTTACTCCTTCGTCCGAATCTCCCACGGCAGAGAAAGGAATGAAGGTCGTCTACTTTGGTAACGAGCTTCCTCAGGATGGCCTCCAAAGCGTCTGTCGACGACTACACGCCTACACCAAAGGCCGGCGTCATCCGCTCCTGGCTCGATTCATCGAGGAGAGTACCTGGGCAGTCCGCGACGAGGTTCGACAGCTGCACGCTGCGCAAAAAGCCTTGGTTCCCCCGTTCGAAAGCGTCCTCCACCTTGCTGAACAGCCGGAGCTGTGCAAGGGACCCCTTTGTGGGTCGATCGAGGGCGTGCTTCTCTGTGCCATCCAGTTGGGAACCTTTATCGGGTAAGTGCGACAAGACCTTAAGAAGATCCAATACTTAACAAAATCAGGTACTACGAAGCTTCGCCCAACGAATACGACTTTGACTCCGCCCATACATATCTCACAGGCCTGGGACTGGGCCTGTTGGCGTCGACGGCGGTCTCTCTCTCCCCGATGCTGGCGGACCTCCCCTTGGCCGGGGCAGAGGTCGTCCGAGTGGCTTTCCGTCTTGGAGTGCTGGTTGCCGACGTCTCTCAGAACCTCCAGCCCGCTGATGCGACGGGTGATCAAAGCTCATGGGCCTATGTGATTCCCAATGTCGCTCCTAAAGAAGCGGAAGAGGAGCTTACTGCTATCCACACGCAAGAAGTGAGTTCTACATGAGTATTATCCTGATGGGCAGCTAATAGCCCCAGAATACGCCCGAAGCCAGCCGGATCTTCATCAGCGCGATCAGTCGAACGTCGGTGACCATCAGTGGGCCGCCGCATCGACTCAAGCGCCTGTTTCGAATGTCTGATTTCTTCCGTGACCGCACTTTCATAGCTCTTCCCGTATATGGAGGCCTGTGTCACGCAAAACACATCTACAGCTCGCAGCACGCGCGGTCGGTGGTTGAGAGCCCATCGACAGCAGCCTTGGACACACGCTTCATCGCTAGGTACCCGGTTTTCTCGACCAGTTGCGGCGAGCCCCTCCCCACAGCCACGACAGCGATGGAGCTGTTCGAACATATCGCTACTGAAATCCTCACCCAGGCCATTGAGTGGGATAATGTCGTTCAGGGGGTTGTCGAGAGGGCCAAGCTGCTCGCAGTATCCGAGGTCCAAGTCTTAGTTTTCCGCATCTCACTTCCTGTTCATGACCTCCTGTCAGCCTTGCAGACGTCCGTAGGGGACCGTGTCGAGGTGACTATCAAGGACCTCGATCCATGGGTCACAAAGGCAAGAGACGATCAGGGATTTGCGTCGCGGGGCAATGCGCAATCCAAGATCGCGATCGTCGGCATGTCGTGTCGCATGCCCAGCGGAGCAACCGACACGGAGAAATTTTGGGACATTCTTGAACAAGGGCTCGACGTCCATCGCAAGATCCCACCAGACCGATTCGACGTGGACAGCCATTATGATCCCGCAGGCAAGCGCGTCAACGCCAGCCACACGCCATATGGCTGCTTCATTGACGAACCAGGCCTCTTCGACGCCCCGTTCTTTAACATGTCCCCCCGAGAGGCTCAACAGACTGATCCAATGCAGCGTCTCGCTATTGTCACGGCCTACGAAGCCCTTGAGCGGGCAGGATATGTGGCTAACCGCACCCCATCGTCCAACAAACATCGCACTGGCACATTCTACGGCCAAGCCAGTGATGATTACCGCGAGGTTAATTCAGCGCAGAACATCAGCACGTATTTCATCCCCGGCGGCTGTCGCGCATTTGGGCCGGGACGGATCAATTACTTTTTCAAACTCTGGGGGCCGAGCTTTAGTATCGACACGGCCTGCTCCTCCAGCCTGGCCACCATCCAGGTATGTCGGACGTCTTGGTCATCGTCCTCTGACTAACCTCTCCTAGGCGGCCTGTACCGCTCTCTGGAACGGCGACACGGACACAGTGGTTGCCGGAGGAATGAACGTTCTGACCAATTCAGATGCCTTTGCCGGCCTCAGCCACGGTCATTTCCTGACCAAGACTCCCAACGCATGTAAAACGTGGGACTGTGAGGCGGATGGGTATTGTCGTGCGGACGGAGTCGCCTCTCTTGTGATGAAGCGCCTGGATGATGCGGAAGCTGATAACGACAACATCCTAGGAGTTATCCTCGGGGCTGCAACAAACCACTCCGCTGAGGCTATCTCTATTACCCATCCCCATGCCGGCGCCCAGTCCCTTCTGAGCTCTCAGGTCCTCCGCAGCGCTGGTATTGATCCGATGGATGTCAGCTACGTGGAGATGCACGGAACTGGGACCCAGGCTGGTGATGCAGAGGAAATGAAGTCAGTCAGTGACATCTTTGCCCCAGCTGTTAAGCGGCGCAGTTCCAAGCAGCCGGTGTTTATCGGTGCAGTCAAGGCCAACGTCGGCCACGGGGAGGCTGTAGCAGGAGTCACCGCATTGTTAAAGGTGCTTCTCATGTTCCAGAAAGAGGCCATCCCTCCGCATGTCGGCATCAAGAACAGCATCAATCCCGGATTCCCTAAGGACTTGAAACAGCGCAATTTGCACATTCCCTATGAAAAGCAGCCCTGGCCCCGCGTCCCCGGCAGGAAGCGCATCGCGATGGTCAACAACTTCAGCGCTGCTGGGGGGAACTCGACTTTAGCAGTAGAAGAAGGGCCCCTTCGTCCCAAGCCCGTCGGGGTGATTGATCCCCGTTCTTCACACCTGGTTGCTGTCTCGGCAAAGAGCAAGGTCTCCCTCAAAGGGAATCTCGAGCGACTCCTGGGCTTTTTGGATGTGCATCCGGACGTGGTCTTGTCCGACCTGGCGTACACGACCACCGCACGCCGTCATCACCATAACCATCGAGTCGCCGTGACCACTTCGGATGTCGGGCATCTGAAGAAGCAGCTGTCTGCAAGCCTCGAATCTGAATCTGTCAACACCATTCAACCGATATCTGCTACAGGCCCGCCCCCCGTTGCTTTCGCCTTTACAGGCCAGGGAGCCTCATACAAATCTTGGAACCTCCAACTTTTCCACGACTCACCGTACTTCCGCTCGCAGATCTTTCACCTGGATGCGTTGGCGAAAGGGCAAGGGTTTCCCTCGATCATCCCTGCTATTGATGGTTCCTATCCCCGGGATCACACACACTCCCCCATCGTCACACAGCTAGCGTTGGTCTGCACTGAGATCGCACTCGCTAAATACTGGGCCTCATTAGGTGTGAAGCCGGACGTGGTGGTAGGCCATAGCCTGGGTGAGTACGCGGCCCTCCACATCGCTGGAGTTCTGTCTGCTAGTGATGCCATATTCCTTGTTGGACGGCGTGCTTGCCTGCTTCAGGACAGGTGCCAGCCCGGTAGCCATCAGATGATGGCGGTTCGGGGGTCCCTGGCCCAGATTGAGCATCTCACAGGGAGTCTGCCGTATGAGATTGCTTGCGTCAACGGACCCACAGAAATGGTCCTTAGTGGGACACTTGAAGAGATGGCAGCTGTGGCCAAGCCCCTAGAAGCTGCGGGACTCAAGTGTATCATCCTTGAGGTGGCCTTTGCCTTCCACTCAGCGCAGATGGACCCCATTATTGATGAGTACGAGGAGCTGGCTGCATCAGGTGTGGTCTTCCAGGCACCTAACTTGCCCGTGATCTCGCCGTTGCTGAGTAAGGTGGTCTTTGATGAGAATACGATAGATGCGCGGTATATGCGGCGGGCGACGCGCGAGACCGTTAACTTCCTCTCTGCGATGGAAATGGCCCATAAGATATCCACCATTGACGATGCTATGGTGTGGATCGAAATTGGCCCGCATCCTGTCTGCATCAACTTTGTCCGGTCCTCCCTCCCCTCGACCAGCGTGACGGTGCCGTCGCTCCGCCGCGGAGAGGATAACTGGGTGACACTCACAAACAGCCTGGGGATTCTGCACTGTGCTGGGGTGGCTGTGGATTGGAATGAATTCCACCAGCCCTTCGAACGCGCCCTGCGTCTCGTGGATCTACCCACCTACAGCTGGAATGATAAGACCTATTGGATCCAGTACAACGGAAATTGGGCTCTCACCAAGGGGAACACATTCTATAATGAAGAGGTCCCAAAGACCAATGGCCTTGCGGGGCTGGCATCGGAACTGAGGACGTCCACCGTGCAGCAAATCATCCAGGAGCAGTTCGACGGAGAGGCTGGATTGGTGGTCATGCAATCGGATCTGATGCAGCCTGACTTTCTGGCAGCAGCACATGGTCACAAAATGAATGGACGGGGGGTTGTCACCTCAGTAAGCTCCAGTCTCCCTTCCGTACTCCGCAACTAACCGTTACTAGTCGATCCACGCCGATATCGCGTTCACGCTGGGTGAATACCTCTACAGAAAACTAAGTCCCAATTTGGAAGCGAACATGAATATCGCCAACCTGGAAGTCGTCAAGGCTCTCGTGGCGCAGGGGAATGAAAAGTCACCACAGCTCATCCAAGTATCTGCAAGCACCGCGAATATCCGGTCCGGACAGGCACACCTAAAATGGCATAACGTCATCAACGGGGCTGTTGAGGAGCCGTTTGCGAGTGCAACCATCTACTATGAGGAGGCGAGTGAGTGGCTGACCTCCTGGCGTCCTGCGACACATCTTGTGCAGGGCCGGATCCATGCTCTGGAGAGGCTCGCCGAAGAGGGCGTGGCCAACCGCTTCACCCGGCGCATGGCCTATGGGCTATTTGCCAGCAGTCTTGTCGACTATGCTAACAAGTACCGCGGCATGCAGTCAGTGGTGCTGCACGATCTGGAGGCCTTTGCCGATGTTGTCCTCACCACTGAAAAAGGGGGCACCTGGACCATTCCCCCGTACTTTATCGACAGTGTGGCACACCTGGCGGGCTTTATTATGAACGTCTCCGATGTAAATGACACGAAAGCCAATTTCTGTGTCACTCCCGGATGGAATTCGATGCGGTTTGCGGCCCCCCTTCTCGCGGGGCAAAAATACCGCTCTTATGTCAAGATGATCCCGACTGTTGAAGACAACAATATCTATCTGGGCGACGTCTACATCCTCCAGAACGAAACCATCGTCGGCATGGTCGGGGGAATCAAGTTTCGGCGGTATCCTCGAATCCTCCTCAATCGGTTTTTCTCACCCCCGGATGCGGATGCCCGAAAGTTGACGCCGCCTGCTGTGCCTGCACCTCCTGCTACATTGGAGCCCGAGTCTAAGCGGGCTCCCACCGGTAATTTAGATGCTTCATCTCCAGCCGATGCTCCGACTGTCAACAGAGTCGACGAAACCGCTGAACCAGACTCCAACAGTACCGCCGCCAAAGCGATTGCTCTAGTGGCTACAGAGGCCGGACTCGGGCTGAGCGACCTCAAGGACGGCGCCAGCTTCTCTAGCCTAGGGATCGACAGTCTAATGAGTCTGGTCATCTCCGAGAAATTCCGGGAGGCGCTGGGGGTGACTGTGACAGGCAGCCTGTTCTTGGAGTATCCGACAGTAGGGGATTTGAAGAGCTGGCTACTGGAGTACTACAGCTGATTCAAATCCGGCTGCTTTTTTTCCATTACGCTTATTTGTTTAGCTTTTATTTTAATCTTTATTTTTATTCACACACAGCGGGCATTCATTGAATGGTAGGGTTACGGGATTCATTCCCTTTCTCCGGATATGGTTACGATGCCAGCGGTTACCAAGAGAGCGATCCATGGTTTGTATTCTCAGCATATGGAATAGACACGTAGGAGTCGAGTGAAAATCGGTAAGGTTCAACCGAGCCGTTATGGCCAATGCTATAAGAAGCTACGTTGTGCGAAATACGCTCAGAACGTAAAGAGTGTCAAGTTGACCAAGAACGACCAGATGGATAGTATTACTCGGCTGGAATCCTTGGCCAACGAAGTCGCCGCTGCCGCCAAAAGGTTAGCCGATTACTGTCGCAACGCCGGCGTGGATGGATGGAGTCCACAAGTGGTCGTCCCGTCTGAGGCCCCTCGGGCCATCCGTGAGATACGACAGTTGCTGGTGAGCAACCTTGATCACTTGCAGACGCTTCTCGCAGAGCCCGCAGACCTGGTGCAGCGACTAGCCGTGCAAACCCAACTTCTCGCGTGTCTTCAATGGCTAGGGGAGTTTCAGGTGCTGGCTTGCCTCCCTCTCACTGGTAGCGTCACCATCTCTGACCTTGCCCGCCTTTCCGGCGTTCCGGAGACGCAGCTAGGCCGGATCATACGCTTCACAGCCACGGTAGGATTCCTCCAGGAGACTCAGCCGGGCCAAGTTGGTCACAGCCCGCTGTCCAGCCTGTTCGTCAGTCGACCGTCCCTGCGCGTCGCGATCATGTTTCTGGCCGATTCGGCCGCACCCGCGGCGCTGAAGATGGCGGCGGCGACCAGTCGATTCGGTGATACGGTGGCCAGCGACACCGACACTGCGTACAACCTCACCTTCGATCAGCGACAACCCTTTTTCTTTTCATGTGAGCAGCGGCCGAAGTTGCAACGTCGCTGGTCGGCGTACCTGCAACACACGGGGGGTGATGCCAGCGACCTCGCCCGACAGGTGCTCGCCCGGGTGGACTGGTTTAATCTGGACAATGTTTGCGTCGTCGAGGTTGGTTTGCCCTGAATATGTACGCAGTGGGGCGGATCAAGCTGACTGAACCCTAGGTGGTTGGACCACAATCCCCGAGCGCCGCAACGATGCTTGCCCAGCTTCACCCGGCGCTTCACTTCATTGTCCAGGAAGTGAGAATCCCCAACTGGGGGCATAATGTTGCGCCGCGACAGGACGCCCGCAGTGTGCAGATACGAGAGCTTGGCAGTCCGCAACGCGTCCGTGACGCCGCCATTTACATCCTAAACTTGAGCCCTTTACCCCAGTCTATCCTCTCCACATCGGTCCTGGCAGAGGTGCGAGCGCATTTGAGTGTTCTAGCGGCGAACAGTCGTGCGACACTGATTCTCACTGTGGGGCTCCTGCTGCCCAAACCGGGAGCTGTGGATGCAAATGTGGAGGCCAGCGTGCGGCTACATGATCTCTCACTGCTGCAATTGGCTAACGATCGGCTGATGGAGGAAGACGAACTGGTCGAGTTCATCCACGGCGTGGGAGACAGTGCAGGGCGACTGATTGTAGTGAATCGGCTCCACCTGCCTCACACAACCACTGTAGCTTTGGGGGTGAAGTATCAAGCAGCCGGTCATGGTGATATTTCTGTTTAGCACCAGTTGGCGTAGAGATCTGTAGTTATCTAGCAGAGAGAAGTAGAACGCTTTAGGAGGATCTTGATTCGAATATTGTAGACTTGTTACTACTGTCTTGTGTAGGGAATCACCTCCCCCCCCGTAGCGGTCCGTGTCCGTTTCTGACGTCTCACAGACATACCGCATGTGTTACTTGTCCTTTCCCGGAAGCATTGTGGGACCTGTCCAAGACCTTCAGCCTACAGGATTGGCCGATATGCTGATGCCTCCCTTACGTCGTCTGATCGAAGGCAGCTGTCGAGGCCGACAATGAGAGAGATGTCGGCGTCTGTCTAATGGGTATTCTCATTCATAGGCTCCTTGCGAGACCCTTGCATGAGAACCACCTTAGAGTCTAGCTTAGCAAATACCACATGCCTGCTGAGCTATTAACATTCAGTTGAGGTGGAAGAAGTATGGGTAACTTTTATAACCAACCAACTTTCGGCGCCATTTAGCGACCACTTCTTCAAACCTAAGATAGTGAGGTCAAGTTTGAGTAGGTTGATCTAGCCTAGAACTTAATCTTAACAGTCGAAATCTATGAGACTCCTTCCTAAACTAGTCATAGCTGTGGTGGCTGCGGTTAGATCCACGCCATCCGCCCCGAATGCAACTCTACTCATAAGCTCAAAGTTAGTTCTACCGGTTGATAGTCGGATTTAAGGTTATCTTTTTATTCTCTGTGCCTCGTGGACCAATCAAGTCCAATGGAAAGAGTCAACCTGCAAGCGACAACCAGGTAGAGAGAGAGACTCTGGGGGTTTTCCCATTACCATGACCAATAGGTGCGGTACATGGAAGATTGATTCAAGTAATTATGCTTTCTTAAAGTCTGGCCTTGTCTCTGCCCCGGCTAAAAGATACGTATCTCTCTGGACGAGAACAATTTGTGGGAGATGAACGGGTACACAAGCTGCTCGCTAGGAATGTTGGCCTAGCCATTGGCAGCCATTGGGAGTCCTGAGAATGGGTGGTGGGACCCCTTGGTATTTGTCATTCCTTCCAGCAACTACGTTGAGTCGAGTCCAATATCCTTGGCTTTGGGTCTGGATTAGAAGCCGATGTTCTAGACACGTTAGGCCCGGGGTGTCCTGTACGACAGACGACGTTCCCATAGCTGATAAGAAATAGAGCCATTGTGATGAGTCACCACTACACCATTGAGTTTCATGACTCGTACATGAACGGACGCAACACTTTATAGCACTGACTCGCGTCAATCCTAGGTAAAATTGCTCTATGCTCGATAGATTGCGTCACCCGAAGCTCTCCAACCGTTAGTCCTCGAGAGTATATCCGACAAGCGCGATCGCAGGAATCACGGTCGAACATGCGATCCGGCCAGATGAGCGTACTTGCAACGACCAGCTCGTCCAGCTGATGCGGTCAGCCAGCTCACTCTCGAACTGAACTGGATGCGGTCACCAGCGTCTTCCCGTCGGGCAAGTGCTCTCCACAAACTGTGTGACAGCTGCCATGCCTGCGGATTATCCAAGGTCAGATGCTCCAAGGAGAAACCGACCTGTTCCCGATGCCGCCGACGCGGGACTGCCTGTGAGTATTTTGTGACTAAACGTCCCGGCCGCAAACCGGACAGTCGATCTGCGGGAGAGCCAAAGCCCGCGCACTTGTCCCGCAGCCTACCCTCGCCTGCGTCCTCGACCGCGATCTCTCATGGACATTTTCCGGATCCGGACGCCTACGACCCGCTCTTCGCCTTTTCGGAGCCGTTCGACAGCACGCCCGAACTGCATTCAGGTCCCTTGTCCACGGTTAACTCGAGCTTATCCTCTGCACTGACCACCTGGTGCCCCGACTTTGACGACTTTTTCTCCTTTCCGCTGTCCGCCGATCAGGACCCGTTCTCTGGAGACTGTGCTGCTGCTGCCCAGAGCGTCCATGACGGGACGACCAACCATCCGACGAATCTCTGTCGCCACGGCGGGCGATCTCCCGCTGCTCTAGATGACACGATCTATCTGTTTGGCAAGCCAGTGGGTCCCTCTCCTTCAGACCAATCACTGCCTCCGACAACTACAATCGGCAGGGGGGCCTCTCCTATGTCCAGAACGGATAGACGGGCGGATTGTCGTCGCTTATCCTGCCAGTGTTTACTGCGCACCATTGATCTACTCAAGCAATTCGTCTCCGAGGAGGTCATTCCGAGAGAGCAGGGTATCGAATCCTGTCCGCCCTCGATCGACGCCGTAGTGAAAGTAAACAGCCACGCCACTGATGCTATCAGCGGAGTCTTGCAATGTCCATGCTCACAAAGAGACGGCTACCTCCTCGTCCTCCTGGCCTTAATCGTGTGCAAAATCTTGGACCGATACGCTGCCGCCGCGCTACCAGGGAAAGACCAGCTGAGCGAGGACAGCCCGGTCGCGGGTCAGCGGGTGCTCGGCGAGCTGCACGGTATCCAGCGGGTCATGAACCAGCTGGGACCGAGACTGAAAACGTATGGAACACAACAGGCTGGTCTGGGATTCCCCTTGTCGGTCGGTCTGGGGGCTCAGTGGGAGCCGGAGCTGCACAAGCGGTTGAGTACACTATCGTCTGAGATTATCAGTCTCCTACGTGAAGCTGAATAGAACATTATCTATACTTCCTGTCCTTGATAGACACATGTTTGATTTTGTTTGCTAGATACTAAAGCTCAGGACGTAACATTAGATATCAGGTCTTAGGGTAGATGTCCGCCATGCCCTTCTTGACTCCCGGCCGCGCCATCATGCGATCCAACCAGCCTTTCACATGCGGATAGTCCTCCACGGTGTATCCATCTTCCGGCTGAATGATCGCCGTGACAATGACCTGCCAGGAAATCCACGCCAGATCCGCAAAGGAGCACTTCCCGCCGACGAGCCAAGGACCGTCCCCGCCTGCTGCCACCGGCTGGCGCGCTAGATGGCCCTCCACCACGCCCGTCACGCGGTTGATCTCCTTGACGTAGCGCTCCACCGCGCTGGGGATCTTCTCCGGGTGGAACTTCTTGAACCAGGACGCCTGGCCGTAGTACGGGCCCTGCCCACTCGCCTGGAAGAAGAGCCACTGCGTCGCCAGGGCCGCCAGGTTGGAGCCGGCAGGGAAGCTAATCTGGTGGTTGGGATCGTAGTGGCTCACCAGATACTCGACGATCGCCCCGGATTCCCACAGCGTAAGGTCGGTGTTGGGATCGTAGATGGCGGGGATGCGCCCGTTGGGATTGATGGCGACGTACTCGGGTTCTTTGACCTTGGACAGAGGCACCGGGATGATCTCGTGCGGGAGATCGAGCTCAGCGAGAATGATGGCTACGCGCGGGGGATTGGGGCCGCCCTTTCCGTAGACTTTGATGGGTTTGATGTCAGGCATTGTCTGTCTTGGTCTTGTGGGGACAACAGTAGAAAATGTGTCATGCGTGATAAGGTCCAACAACGCGGGGCGGGGTGACATCAGTATATATAGTTCAACAATCCGGATGCAACCCTCCTGCTGATTAACCAACCATTAATAATTGCCATCTTACGGGCATTGGTGACAAGACGCTGACCAAGCAAGGGGGAGTAAGCAAGGGTTGCACAATGCTGTTTCTGTGATTGCACACAGTCGACTTAGTTTACCGGCTGACAGCAATACATTGAGTTGTTTACGATGACCTGGATGGGTTGACATACTAAAATACATACCGACTTCTGTCTACTCTGACTAAACTAAACTGACAAACGATTGCTCTCGACTAACTGGCGGACCGACCGGCAGCACAGAATGGCTGGTTCGGTCCCGTGGCTGGTAGGTAGGGATGAAGAAAAGGCAAGAAATGCCTCACCAGTCCCATGAAGATGCACATCGGAGCGCCCCTGGGGAACCTGGCTGGCCCATCTGCGTATGTGACACCCACGTTTCGCATGTCATAACGTCCATCCGGGTCATCCGCCGCCTCGATCATGGCCGCTGCCAGGTCCAGGTACGACAGCGGGCTCTTCTCCTCAGTGAAACTCAGCCTATGCCCGTGCGGGACGTCCACTGAGAGCCCGCCGGGCTTGATAAAGATTGTCGAGACCCAGTGCTGCTGGCTTCGCAGAAACGTCTCTGCTTTGGCCAAATCCTGATAGACTTGTGAAGCAGACTTGAGAAGGATCCAGCGGACCCAGGGAGCGGTATTCCGGGAGAGCTGGTCATCAAGGGTCGCGGAAGAAAGAAGGACCAGCTTGGGCATGATAGCCCCTTCGCCTTGCAGGATGCGTAGAGCCTGGATGACTGCAGTGGCGGCATCCAGCGCCATATGACACTGGGGCACGTTGTCGTTGGTCGAGATGACCAGAAAGACTGCATGGCAGGTGCGAACGCACGCTGTAATGAGCGGGAGGTCGTCGATGCTGCCTTCGAAAATGTCGACTTGCTTGTTGTCTGCGACCTGGGGCAGCAGGCGCTGGAGCTTGCGCTTGTTGCGGCAGTAGGCGTGGACCTTGCTGGTGCCGGAGCTGAGCAAGTTCTCGATCAAGGCAGTGCCGCAGTTTCCTGTCGCACCAAGTACCGCGTAGGCCATGTCTGAGGATTGGGATTGGAGATGGAGATTGGTATAAGCCAGTATCTTTGGTTAGACATATATTCCTGTCACAGGCTGACAGCCATTCGCTAGCTTAAACTGTAGTCTTTCATATGAGTTACTTTTCAAATCATATAATTTAGGCCAACCACCTCTTGGGTAATCATCTGGTGTTTGGAGACTATGATGTTATGCTTGACTGCGTAGCAATAGATACAACTTGGGGCTTATACCTTGGACATCCAGCCAAGACTACGCACCCGCCAATAAAGGTTACAGATCTCTGCAATATTTTCCTATAAGCAACCTAGTAGACACTAGAAATTTAAGACCAGGCTGTCTTCCTCTTGCCAACGCCGGAGCAGCCGGATCTGGCGGTCATCGGTCTCGGGCATCGGCGTGTACCACATTCAGCCCAAGGGATATCGCCCGAGCAATTAGCCCGATGAGGGCTCAGCGGACTGCAACCTTTCACAGGGGTGACAGTTCGGGGTAACCCCTGGTCTAGGAGGAGATGAAGGACATATCAATAAAGTCCTTTATGTGTGGAGAATTGCCCATACACCTATGTCGACAATCTCCTAGAAAACATCCCGCCAACTCCAGGAAAAGCAGCCAGTCTCGCCATGCTTGAGAAAGTATTCCGCGAAAAAAGCTTCGCCGATCAGTACACGTATGGCGCAAAAATCAGTGAGCTCTATGCGGAGACACTGGTGGACAGGTCTGGCATCGCCAAATCCCATCAGAGGCCTTTGATTATCTTCGACAATGCCTGTGGGACGGGTTCCATTTCGAGTACCCTTCAGCGTACTCTTGATAAGAGGAATAAAAGGAGCTTGAAGTTGACCTGTGGTGACCTGTCCGAAGGCATGGTCGAATATACCAAGCAGCGGATGCAGGCCGAAGGATGGGATAATGCTGAAGCAAAGATTGTGAACGCGCAGGATACTGGTCTGCCAAGTGACCACTACACTCATGTGTACACGGCATTCGGTAAGTACAGAGGCAAGAAGAGTCGAGTACTGAATATTCGAACTCAAATTCTTCCTGATTAGCTTTCAATATGTTCCCTGACTACAAAGCCGCACTGCAAGGTAATTATTCTTTCTTCAAGTACAATTCGGCTGAGTGCTACTAACCACTCGTTTGCAATAGAATGCTTCCGAGTCCTTCAACCAGGTGGTACATTAGCGACCTCGACATGGCAGAACGGTACGTTCCCCCTTGCAAATACTTGCACAGATGCTAATTTATTCTTTCATAGCCAACTGGTGCACTATCATGAAGCCTGTCATTGCAACTATGCCAGGAAATCTTCCATATCCAACAATGGAAGAAATCAACAAGATGCTTAATAAAGGTTGGGACTCCGAGTCCAACGTACGTGCCGAGTTTGAGGATGCAGGGTTCACGGATGTCAACGTCACCACTGTAGCAAAACAATGCCTACTCCCTGTACAAGAGTTTGCTGAGGCTTGCAAGATTCTCTTGCCCTACGTCCTCAGCAAGTTCTGGACGCAGGAGCAGCGAGGCCGGTATGAAGCTGAGGTGCCAGAACACCTCATGGGGTATCTGGAAAAGGCATATGGAAAGGATGGACTGGCTCCGATGAAAGGCGTGGCGATCATTGCAACGGGTCGTAAGCCTTGAATGCCGCTTAGGGAATTGTCTAGCCATGTGGTACAACAATTTATGTTGGGAATGTATGTAGGAATGTTTTGACCTAATGAATGTGAGGCTACGCTCTGGTTTGCCATCAAGCCTGACATGCTGCATACATGGCATGGAATGAATATGCTTATCAAAAGTTACCGTCTTACTGATACCGATTATTGTATATATTATAAAATCATCGTCTCTGTGAACAAGAACACAAAGCAGAGTCTCAGGATCTAGGCTAACGACGGCACTGCAGCCCAATTCTGCTCAAATCCCACTCCCCAGATCCATTTTTCTTCGATTGGACGACCGGCACTCGACTCATATGCCATCTGTGCGATCCGCAGCCACATAGGCCCCTTGATCGGGAATGCGTTGGCCCATTTCCCTCGCTCAAAAGGCTCTGAGATCTGCTCTCCGGCCTTCAAAGCCCGGATAAACTTGGCCAAGTGCCCATCGTCATGCACACGCGTGACTGCCTGGTAGAGTCCTTCCCAGTTCAACCCCCGACAAGGCTCGTAATCCAGGATGTCCTGGAGACGCAGCTCGACAGCACCGCTGGCCGCATACCATGCCAAGTCGACGCGGGCTTTCCACTCGACCAGGCGTGCTTTGTGCTCTGCACCGATCCACGGCTGCCGGAGCAACACAATCAGTCCCAGCGAAGCAGTGACGGTGTGCAGGTGGAAAAAGTCGATCTTCCGAGCCTTCCCCGGCTTCTGTGCCGACCCTGCTAGGTAAGCCGCACAGTTGATCATCTCGGCCGCTCGGTGATTCAATCGATCGTCGTCGACTCGGAACCTGGCTGCAATTGAGGTGATCTCCTCTCGGGCACTGCCCAAGATGCCATCGCGCACCCGGGCCGAACCATTATCGTAGCTCCCATGGGCTGCGGTGCGAAGGACGTTGTTGTCTCGCACAGCATGAAACAGGCTTATCAACGGCGCATCTAGGTCGATTGTGGCCTGCTGGGTCTTTTCTTTCTTCTCGGCGCCGAGCAAGAATGGTTCAATCCCCATGGAGTCATGGCAGGCGGCCTGTGCGAGGCCTTCTGCAACGATACTGGGCTGGTCGAACTCGATCCCAAGTGCCAGGTGGATTAGTGGATGGTATAAACCTTCGAACAGATTCGCGAACATGGTCTCGGCGATGGACGTGCCACTGAAGCAGTACTCGACTATGACAGCCGGGTATCCCTTGGTTCCTATCTCTTTGGTGAAGAAGGCCAGGAAGTTTGGATACTGATCTAGGAAGCCCATCCGCGCCCGAAACTTGTCTGGAACGCTCATGCGGGCCACTGCGTCCGGATCCAGGGGAGGCATGGGTACCTGGATGCCGGCCCCATCGTCGAAGGCCCGCTGGAGGTCTATGGGCCCGCCGCCGAGGGCCAGAATGTTCAGAACCGAGTGCGCAACGTGGTTATGGCCGGCAACACTCCGCCAGAAAATGTGGTGTTCGTTGTGGTTCTTCTGGAGAAGTCGATTCGCCGCCTCCAGCGATCCATCCGGGTTGGTGTCGGTGACGCGGGCGACGCCCAAGTGGGGACGAAGTCGGATCTCTGAAGCCGTTGCCATTTAGAGGGGCAATACACAATGGGCCATGAAAGGTCTAGGGCAAAAGATTACCTTTAAATGGAGTCTTCTGGGGAATACTTGCGGGTTACCCCGATCCGCCCGAAGTCGCTCTGAATTGTCCCGAGGCGGACTATGTAGGATGACATGGAGGCACTTGTAGCCACAATAGCATCACAGGTTATAGAAAAGATGAGCATGAACAGGCAATCTAGAGTCCTTTTGGAATACATTACAATGAGGACATGACCTATACAGCAGCTATAGAAGGCTGGCAAATGGGTAGAGTATGTTAGATCGGGGGAGCCGGCTAGAACCTGCCTGCACTCTCATCAAATGCTAACTTTAAACCTACCTCCTATAATGTTTCAAAGCTGACTCTGCCAACAGCTAGCTACTTAAGATGAAACCGGTATAGCAAGCACTATTTTAATCTGAGCCTAACGGAGTGATTATGATAAAGGTTATAATGAGCTTACCGCGCTAGATTGATCTGTGTAGATCAGTCAGGCACAGACCATTCTGGGCTCCCCTAGATGCCCGAATCATCGATAGTGTTGTTATCAGGAATGTTCACGCTGTCATAATACTTTGACCATGCGGTGCATCGATCTTGAAACTCTCCCAGCATACCGGCCGCCTCCATGAGCGGCTTAATCTTCCTGGGCTGCTCGATGAACTGCAAGGAGAGCCCACTACTGACATGAAAGGCTACATGGCAATGAAGCAGCCAAGCCCCCGGGTTGTTGACCTGGAAGGCGATCCAAACATAGCTGCCCGTGTCGACGTTCACCACGTCGCGGCGGGCAGGATTATCCAGCTTCGGGACTGTGGCCGGGTTGAACTCGCCCCTGCCCTGAGCGAGGATGGCAAAGTCGTGCCCGTGCAAGTGCATCGGGTGCATAATCGGAGTCAAGTTGCGCGGGAAGTGGGCATTCTCCCAGGTATAGTTGTTCGTAATGACAAAGTGGACCCAGGCACCTGTCTCGAAGTCCAGCACGATGGGAACAGTCTCCGGTGGGAAGTCAGAATGCCCGTCCACGGCCAATTTCTTGAGACTGGGGTTCTTCCAATCGACAAACATCGGTACATCACCCAGGACCCATTTGTGGAGGTCACCGTCGAAATTCAACGGGTCGGGATAGCCCTCCTGGCCCAGTCTCAGGTAGTCGTTCATCTCCATGCTGTTCACTCGCCTCCCAACCGACTGCTGGACAATAGGAACGAGATGGTCTGGGTTAGGGTCGCCACAGCCAAAGTCTTGATGCTGCTCGCTGAGAGGGGGTGTCCAGGGGTCACGGCGGTCCTGTTCGTCGTAGCGCACAATCCCGACTGCCTTGTGGGGGAGTAGATCGACCTCGCCGCAGTATTGGGCGTGAATCCAGAAGTTGGAACCGTGAGTGAAGTCCGCGTTTGCCTCGACAATGATTTCATACCGCTGGCCCATCGCCACGTTCAACACACTGGTGACATACGGTTCAATGGGGACGAAGTCCGCCGCAATGACGGTCAGGTTGTGCCCATCTATCCAGAACATATACTCTAGCAGGGTACCCGTATTGACTAGAGTCAATTTGTACTTGACACCCTTCCTGAAACTGACCTCAAAATAGTCTCCTCCTGTGCCGGTGCAGCGCGTATCGTTGCTGCGATTGCAGTCGAATTTTCCCTTGCCATTCAAGATGGTAGACTCGGGAATCGCCCCTCGATTCTTCGTCTCTCCTACCCAAAGCAGGGAAAACACATCGTCGTGGTACCAGTCATGCAGGAGCCAGGGCCCCAAATCCTCATCCCAGTCCATGCCCGACGGTCCGTGAATGACAATCGGGCCTGCGTGACCTCTTCAGCATAGCCAGATTTTCGTAGGATGATCAACGTACCAAAGAGTCCATTGCTATCTGATACTGATTAGTGCTCATATTCGAACTGAACAGATGACACTCACACTGCAGACTGAAATGCGAGTGATACCAGGACGTTCCATATTGCGTTGCCCGAAACTCGTATACTTGCACGTCTCCAGGCTATAATGGATGGACAAGTCAGTTGCTCCTACCTTGTGCTTAGCTGGGTACCCTTACCTTGCTCGGACACTGCGTGACTCCAGGGACTCCGTCCTGATGATTGGTCTCGAATTGACGCAGTCCATGCCAGTGAATAGCGCTACCGTTGTGGTTGTCGGTGAAATTATTGTACACGCTAACGCCTGTATCTGTCAGCCTCCGACTGTCGATGCAGAGGGGAAAGACTTACGGATAGTGTCCCCCCAATCTGCTTCGATCGTAGGGCCAGGACACTGTCCTAGAGTGGCCAATTATTCCCATAGTCCTTACAGAAATATATATGGAAAATACGAACCATTTGCTACCATTCCTAGTTTTTCGTATCCATCAAGAGAGATGACTTGCTGACTGACGGTGAGATTGTACTAATAGTCTCGTTGGTATATTATTGATACGATTTGGACAGGCAAAATAATTGTAAGGCAACTGACCTCGACCAGCTTGCCAGGCGGGACCAGTGTGTGATTGGTGTAGTCTGTCAGAATGTTAAACCCATCTCTCCAGCAGCCTCGACTAGTCGGAGTATTCCGGCAGTCTTTTGGCAAAGGTGCTCTGGTTGCCACGGCTGAGAGAGCACAGCAGCCGTAGACGAGCAACTTGGCGATAGTAAGCATTATGTGATCTGCAGGATCAGAACACTTGGTCGTCGAGTCTGTCTATGCACGAAGTAGTAGACAATGGACTTATCATTAGATCACTTATAAATGGGACCTGTATCAAGGTCAACTGAGCCCCGAACCAATGGACTACATCGGTAGAAAGCAGTGCCAGCTGGACTATCGGACTAATAGCTCGGGTTGTTTTGACAAAGAGCTAACCAAGCTAGTACAGGGAAGACGCCACCATTATGCTCAGCTTTGTGAAGCCAAAACGAGCAGAGCCGATTAGTTGAGAGAACAATCCTCCATTCCATCCACAGCCACTCCCTGCCGAACAAATTCCTCGATCCACCCGATCGTCATCCTGAGGGCAACAAGGGTGAGTGATTTCCTGCATAGATGAATGGAAGACAAGTAACCTACATGCTCCTCTTGGTATCCGCAAAATTCTCATGATCGTGGAACAAATGCTCTTTGTACCAAGGGTCTTGCTTCATGCGTTTGTAGTCGTCCAGGCTCTCGAAGACGACCTGGCTAAAACAGTCAAAATCCGTCACGTTGGTCATTTGCGGGTCATACAACTCGGCCATGAGCGCGCGCGTGGCAGTGGTGTTATGGACCTGCTCCGTTACTAACTCGAGGGTATACAGTCGTACAATGGGAAGTCACCATAGTCCATCGCTTGACCCCATATTTCACCATCAAATCTTTCGTCATTGGGGCGGAGATCTCAGTCATATAGCGGCGGTAATCTTCCTCACTCATGCCCGGCTTGCGGTAGCCGCAGATGGTGAGGCAGAGATATCTGCTCGGCTTTCCGGTGGATTCTGCCATCGTTTTGGGAAAATGAGTTGAAGAAACTAGGGAACGAGGCCTGAGTAGCAAGCTGCATGTTGGCGACTGTGAAGGCGCGGATCAGCCTTAAAACTGGGGAGCGGGGCATGGGTTACGACGGAGCCATTTGATGTAACCCACCTGGTGATCGGGGCAATTCTTGTCTTTCGAATCGGGGCTCACCTCTATAACTAGGGTCGATTCAGTATAGCCACTGGACCTTCTCTCTATTATCTAGGCACCTTCAATATCCCTCTCCCTAGCACTATGCCGCAGGACGTCTCTTCTCAGGTTATTACACAGGCCGCTGCTGTCATCACAGGCGCCTTTCTCTCTGGTATGTGGTCCTCTACGTTGCAATCTACGTAGCAAGTCTCACGCCGGTCTAGGAATCATGATGGGACTTTCTCTCATCGACATTCCAGTTGTGCTTGGCACTGCCACTCAATCCTCGGATTTATCGCAACACTTCGTACGCCTCTACGACATTGGACATAAGATGATGCCCAGCTTGGCTATCACTACCTGTCTTCTCTACGGTCATGCTATGACCCGTGCGCGGGCTGCGGGCCGGTCGGGACTGCCTCATATGATTGCTGCAGTGACAACGATCTCGATGGTGCCTTTTACGTGGCTGGTCATGGCCCCGACCAACAACGCCTTGTTTCAAATGCACTCAGCTCCCGCTGCGCCCAATCTGGGAGAGGCTCAGCGACTCCTCGTGCGATGGGCGAAACTGCATGCAGTGCGCTCATTGTTTCCATTGACGGGGGCGGTCCTGGGTTTCAGACAGGTCCTCAGAGAGGGAAGGCTTTAGACAAGAAGGTTAAAGTTACAGTCATTATGAGGATGATCAGCCTGGCCAATAACTTTATTGTATTACTATACTATAACATACTATATCATGTCTGACGGAATAATTAAAATAATCGGATAGAGTAAAGAAGTTGAAAGAAAGAGTACCGACCAAAAGGAGAAGAGACAAATGTTAAGGAGGAGTCAATGGAGGTAATTTCTACATTCCTCGGAGCATTACCCTTAGATCCCCGAGCCCCGATCAACTGTCAGCGCATTCCTTCAGCTAGTAGTATATTAGTGGGTGCACAGCATATTAGAGATCCATCTAATCACCTTGTTCGAAAACGATTAAGTTGGCAGATCAAAACGTCAGCATGGCTGTACCCCATAGCATTCCTCCTCCAACGGCAGCCCCCATCGAGACTAACGGCCAAGTTTTCGCCCGCAGCAAGGCATTTTGGGATAACTATCTCCGGGGTCGCCCACAAGTTCCGCAGAGCTTCTTCCAACGCATCTATCGCTACCACTGGGAAAATGGCGGGCGCTTTGGGACAGTTCATGACCTTGGTGCGGGAATTGGCCCGTACGCAAAGGAGCTGCGGTCCAAGTTCGAGCACGTTATTGTATCCGATATTGTGCCGAAGAACGTGCAGCTGGCCGAGGAGCACCTCGGACGAGACGGCTTCAGCTATCGCGCCGCGCCAGTCGAAGACGCAGCCGACCTGCCGCCCGGAAGTGTGGATCTGGCCTTTGCGACCAATGTGATGCACTTTGCCGATCAGCAAGCGGCCATGGAGGCGATTGCGACTCAGCTGCGGCCGGGAGGCACCTTTGCGTGCGCAGGCTTTGGTCCCGCGCGCTTCGACGACCCCGATGTCCAGGACGTGTGGGAGCGGATCAGCCAGCAGGGCGGTCGAATCCTTTTGGACATGGCGGACCATCCGCAGGACACCATCAACGTCATGAGTCGCAGTTCGAACGAATACAATTTGGCTCCTCTGGAGCCGCGGTGGTTTCGGCCAGGGGCGCTGCGCATCCGGCTGAACATGACCCAGGGCGGCATTACGGGCCTCCTACCGCCCGAACGACAACAGGAAGTGACAGATCCTGACTTCTCAAGCCCTAGTGATGTCGTCGTGTATGAAACTGATGACGAATGGCGCTTTCAGACCGACTTTGAGGGTTTCCTGCAGCATTTCCGTTCGTTTCCTCATGCAGGGGCCAATCCAGCGGCCTTTACGGGACTGTTGCAGGAGCTAAAGGACCTCGTGGGCGAGGGGAGACATCTCCATGGCTGTTGGCCAGCTACTTTGATTCTCGCAACGCGGCGTTAGAACTATGTGACTATCGCAGCGAAATGCAGCGTCACTGATTTAGCTTTATAAAGCCTGCTTACCACCTTTAATGCATAATTGACCTCTAGTCTCCACAAGGTTCCACCCCAAGATTCGTTTATTAGTGGTGTCCTAGGTACCAACCGCTAGCTGGAGTTCACCATTTTGTAATGATAGACACACGTACATGGGATGATTATGTGATAAAATACTATGTTTTTTGAGAACCCCTATATACTGAAACGTTGTACAAGTACCCATAACCCAAATCAAATCCATCAAAAAGCGTATCTGCCAAGGTTCTGAGACCGGCGCCGGGGCCTGAATGATAGGGTGCGCAATAAAGTGAAAATTAGGGGACCTAGTCTATCATCTCTATCTCTAACTGGTGCTTTTATCCAAAATCCTCCCTCGTGACATATACAAAGTAAACAAATATCGCTTGCAAACAAACTTGTGCCAACCAACAGCTCTAGCCGTTGGCAATCAGTCAATGTACTTGGGAAGCGTCTTCATGATGCCGTCCCGGGCAATGTCATTCATAGCGGTGGTGATCTCCTGGAGGAACCGCTTGTCGCTGCGCAAGTCGTCACCGAACAGGCTCTTGATGCTGAGCAGCTCGAGCGGGTCGGAGCCTCCTGCGCGAGCCTTGGCCTGCAGCTCCTCGCGCATCGGGTCGACGACCTCGAACGGCTTGCCACTGTCGTCGACGCCGTTAACGTAATGGAACCAAGCGGCCGCGACGAAGCACAGGCGACGGAAGGGGCCAGTAACCCAGATCGCCTCGGCAATCGAGGGCATGATGAACTGGGGAATCTTGCCGGAAGCGTTGAGGCAGATACGGGGCAGCTGGTCCATGATTGTTGGGTTGGTAAAGCGCTCCATGAGCGTGTTGCAATACTCGTCAATGTTGACGCCCGGAATCTCGGGCAAGAGGGGCTTGACCTCGTCCTGCATCATCTGCCAGACGAACTTGCGGAAGAGCGGGTTCTCCATGACCTCGTGGACGTACTTGAAGCCAGCCAGCTGACCGGGGTAGCCCAGAGCAGAGTGGCTGCCGTTGAGCAGGCGCAGCTTGTGCTTCTCGAACTGCTCCACGGCGTGGACATCCTTGACAACCTGGACACCAACCTTCTCGAATGGGGGGCGGCCGTCGGAGAACTGGTCCTCGATGACCCACTGAGTGAACGGCTCGGTGACCACGGGCCAGGAGTCCACAATGCCAAAGTTGTCTGCGAGTGCCGTTTTGTCGGTGTCTGATGTCTGGGGTGTGATACGATCGACCATGGCGTTCGGGAAGGCGCCTTCCTCGGCAATCCATTCCGCGACCTCCGGGTTGCGCAGGCGCGCAAACGACTCAAGCATATGACGTGTGATGGATCCGTTCTTCTGCATGTTGTCGCACGACATGACGGTGAAGGGCTTGAGTCCCTGCTGGTAGCGCCGGGTCAGGCCCGCGTAGAGGAAGCCGAACGTGGTGCGCGGTGCCTTGTCGTTGGCCGGGTCGAGGTCGAACTGAATGTCCGGGTGCTCGCTCTGCAGCTCGTGTGTGTTCTCGTTGTAGTAGTAACCGCTCTCGGTGATGGTGAGGGAGACAATTTTCGTGTCAGGGTGCGCCATCTTGGCAATAACCGCCTCCCGATCATCAGGGGCGAAGAGGTAGGAGTTGATGCTGCCAATGACGTGGGCAAAGCTTCCCTTGGCCGAACGCTCAATGAGGGTGTAGAGGTGGTCCTGGGATGCCAACGCGTCGCGCATGGCGGCGTCGAAGGGCTGCAAGCCAACGCCACAAATGGCGTAGTCGGTAACACCGTGCTTCTGCATCAACTGGTCGACATAGACGGCCAGGTGAGCCCGGTGGAAGCCGCCGACGCCAATGTGGACGATTCCCTCCTTGACGGCGCGACCGCGCTGGTAGGTTGGCACCTTCACCAGCGCACCGCCGGCCGCCGCAATTTGCGACAGATTCCTGCTACTGAGTTTGAGGGGTGCCATTGTGATGGAATGAGTTGAAAAATGAATGACAAAGGGTGAGCTTGCGAGATATGAAGGGGTTGCAGCGGCCGAATCGGAGGGTCACCGCTGCTTTTGACTGCTGATCGCAGGAAAAGAATGTCCAGGAAAACGGCATTGTTACATCATGGGCTGGCCTTCAAATAGGGGCCAGTGGCGGGGGATAACTTACTCATCTTCGCCATTCCTGCCCGTACAAGGTGAGCGGTGTACCAGAGGTACTTGATAAGGAAATTGGGAAAAGCAAAACAATTTAAGTACCTTGCATGCGGAACAAAGGAGTGGCGTCATAGTAAGAGTTTTCTGCCGCTTCCAGAATGAATTATATAAGCTTCCTCTGGGGGCGGCTATTGGTCATCGCCGCCCGTATCGGCAGCACTAGCAGGATTACTGACTCGGGATTTGCCATACGGGTCTGCAAACTCTGCATAGTACTATGGCATAGTACCTCCGTATGGCGGCGTATGGCACACCGACTATCTGTCTCCCTCGGATCACAATCTGTCAGAATTTGAACCATCCCGCCGGGTCTAGTGAGTCTGGATTTGATAGTGAATCAGACTGAGACAGACGATGGCCATACACACTATGTAGCCCCCCATACAAGTGTCCCAAGTTTCACACAGGATTCGGTATAGCTAGTGCTAGTGCCAGACTATTGACCGACTCTTCTAGTTTGAATAACCAAAAACTCCTAACAATACGACTTTCAAACTGTTATGGTCCAAAAATCCTTTCCGCTTCCGTTAATTCCAGGCCTTGCCTTCAGCTCAACCCCACGCGGCCACGCCCAATCCCGAAGTTAACATTGGTTGATGGTGGAGCATGGGGTAGCAAGCCTATTCCTGGAACTAAGGGGGGCCGGAAAAACCAATCATATCATGTGATGGCTTCACGGCCCCTTAAATCTTCTTCCCCGACGGTCCCGGGTACGGATTGCGTATGCCAAACTAGTTCTGTGGAGGAAAAACAAAGGACCTCACATGACCATTCTGGTTATTTGGCCAGGGTGACCCCTGTAAAATCCAAGACAGTACTATTGCCCAAGTGTTCACATGGCCCTCGTGTTATTCCTTCACTTTACCTGGTTCAGCGGATTCAGAGATGACAGTACTCGGCATTTTCTCCTTGGGTCTTGTTACATATCCCCTCGTTGACCACGACACATACAATCAGTGGGTTCTTTTGATGCGACTTACTGGTGTGATGGACTTCTCGCTTTCGATTTAAAAATGCTAAATATATGTAAAAGGAGAGGCCCAATGAAGCGGTCAACGACAAGCATGATGTGCTTTGGTGGTCGGTGATAATATATAATCACGATCAGGATTCTGCACTAAGGCCGAAGCTAGTAGCTGGATTATTAGTTTCAGTTTCTGATCCTGATCCTGCTGGAGTGAACTCCTCAAGCGACTGAAAATTGCAAGGGGTAAATCAAGACTGCCATGGCCCTTCGATGCCCTAGAGTTTGTGTGGCTGGTAGCGGACGCGTTGCGAGATCCCCGAGAGATCATGCCGATACGGAGGATAGATTGTCCAAGCAAGGGGTTGAGGTCCCGTGATACTATGGACCTTGATGCACGCTAACTATGGCCGGAAGTCTTAAGACACCATTAAACCAGAATAAAGACGTATGCTGGATACTTGCATGCTTCATCTCCAGTCGGGAAAAACAGACAGCTGATTGACATGGATATGGGAATTCAGAGATGGATGTTAGAGTTTGGTGGAGGTGCGGCTCTGGATCTAGAACCCTGTGTACCTGCGTGGGGGCTGTAATGCCGGATTTTATCAGGTCATGCGCCAAATAAGCCTTATTTCTAAAAAGGGAAAGAAGGAGAGAATAACTCCGTAAAAAGGTGGAATAAGCAAGGGGGACTCGGAGCGCCAGATATCTCGAAAATTCCATGCGTCCTGCATAGTCGAAGCTATTGATCTGCATTTTAGGTGCTCTATCACCTGGGAATTCTGGATCCAGACGCAGTTTGTAACGAAGTATTCCGTATGATGGAGCCTAACATAGTATAACATATGCAACTAACCCATTGTCTTATAATTGTCTAGGATTTGTCTATTTTGCCTGCATCTTCTCAGATCAAGCTTACCTTAGCCTTAGGCCAACATTGGTTTGCGTTACTCAATTTAGCCTCATACGGAGTAAATACACCCAGTAACTCCTATCATGGCGCCCCTTTTGGCCCGTATACAAGATTTTGTATGGACTTCTATTGATGTCCCCGAAGTCAAGGACAAGAATGCATCAGATATATTACGGGATTCGGTGGATCTCTCACTCTCTTATACTCCGGATAAGCTCCTCAGTGTCTTTACCTCTGAATATCAGTGCTCTCTCGGCCTTCCACCTAGCATCATAACGCTCCTCAATGCCAGTTGGCTGGTCACTGTGCGCTGCTTCTCTCCGGCCCAGGAAATTTACCTGCGTCAGCATTCAGAGCCCGGCGTGTACTTCATCACTAGATTGGCACAGGGGGCAGGCCGCCATGTCGCCATTGAACTGAACTGCGAGGCCCCAGTCAAAAATCTCATCCGAGATGTATCTCTCCTTCAGTCTGAGGCGACGGCACAGATGCCAGTGGGGAACGATTCTTCCGACGAGGATTCGGAGAAATTTCTGACGACCACGATTTGCTACGCAGAAGAATCCTCTGCTATGACAAAGGGATCAAGCGAGGGAAGCTTGAACAAAGGGGTACACATTTCCTTTTCCTTCAGCCGTCGTCCGCACGCTCTGTACATCTGCGTCCGCTAACAGGTCGTATATGTGCCAGCATATCAATTCCAAGCTCTTCCTGGACATGTCGCAAGCAAATGGCGAACTCCGAGCGAAGCTCACCTTCTCCGTCTCTGACATCTCTAGAGAGCTTGCACTGAGTATGTTGCATACCTTCAATACAGCCATCAGGGCCGTGCTTTCATCTCCATTACAATCCCTAGGAGAGTTAGACCTATGCTCAAAACATGACCGCCAGTTGTTGCAAAAATATACTGAGAGTGTATCCGAAACCTATGAAGTGCTGCTGCACGACTTAGCCTTACAGCATGCACAGCTAACCCCTGATGCACCGGCGGTGCATTCATGGGATGGTGACCTGACCTACGCACAGCTGGATGATGCAACCTCCCGACTCGGACAGTTTCTGGCCAGTATCGGTGTAGGTCCGGGAACCTTTGTAATCAGCTGTTTTGAGAAGTCTACATGGGCAATTGTGGCCCGCCTGGCTATTATGAAAGCCGGCGCTGCATATATCTCTGTTGACGCGACAGATCCGCCCATTTACCTTGAGAATGTGATTCGCCGCGTGAATGCAAAAATTATCCTCACCTCTCCGGCCTATCAGCCTAGATACACTCCTTTCGTCCCGTCGGTCATTGCAGTTACACCAGAAATGGTACATGCTCTTCCTGTCAGCTCCGGTATCATCTGCCCCGTGGTAAAACCCAGTGATGCTTGTCTCATCCTGTTCACTTCTGGGAGTACTGGAGAGCCAAAAGGCATTATTCAAGAGCATCGAGCGTACGCTACGGCAGTCCGAGATTACAACAAATCGCTTGGAATAGGTCGCCACAGCCGCGTACTGCAATTTGATGACTACGCGTTTGATATCAGCAACAATGACTATTTGACCACCCTCACCGCTGGTGGATGCTGCTGCGTCCACACACCGGGCAAGTCTATCTCTACCCTTGTGGAGAACATCAACTCCCTTCAGGTCAACATGACCTTTCTGACCCCGACTATCGCAGCTCAAGTTTCCCCTCAGGATGTGCCAACGTTGGAGTTGGTCTGCCTTGGTGGTGAGCCGATGTCAAACGAGCTCCTGATGAGATGGTCCCCTCATGTGAGACTGGTAAATCAGTATGGCATGGGGGAGGCTGCCACCTTCTGCGCTTACAACGACCAAGTCCGACCGGGCCAGAACGCTATTGTCGGACGCAGCGGGAGCGGAGCCATTTGGATAACCAGTCCGGAATCTCCGGAGCGCCTGATGCCCGTCGGCGCTGTCGGCGAGATTCTGATTGAAGGCCCCCACCTGGCCCGAGGATACCTGGACGGTGTCTGCCAGAAACCCGATGTTGGATTCTTACCGAATGCGCCAGCTTGGCTCAAAGATCTCCACCCGTCTCGTGCAGCCACGTCCAGGTTCTATCGTTCCGGAGATTTGGGGAGGTATACACATGCCGGCACTGTGGAGCATTTGGGCCGCAAGGACACTCTCCTCAAAATCAATGGCTATCGAGTCGAAGCCACCGAGGTCGAGTACGTCCTCCGTAGGTCGTTGGGCCCTGGCGATGCGGTCATCGTGGACCTGCTCGGCGAGATCGATGGCTCTCGAGAGCCGTTTCTAGTCGCTTTCCTGTGGTTGACTGACAGTGAGGACCATTTCGGCCCTGCTGCTGGTCATAACTCCGTCGAGTTTCTCCCCATCACCAGTCACCATGCGGCTCATCAATTGGTGCAAAGAATGAAAGCTGAGGTCGTGGCTACGCTGCCCGTTCACAAGATCCCGGAATACTTTATTCTCGTCAGTGAGATCCCCAGAACCAGATCTAATAAAACTGACCGCCGCAAACTGCACCATCTCGCGCAGAAGTCGTACTTGTCGGGGGTTCTAAGTAAGATTTAGGACAATCAGCGGTTTCTCTGATCATTGCCGATGATATGAATTCGCATACGCCAGTCTATTCGTATTCATGGATTGTTTAATGTGCCAATGACCAGTTTCCTGTTCTAATACTTAGCCTAAGTATGTGTAGGCTGGGTAACCGCTGGATCCTAGGTAGTTAACTTTTGCTGTGCAATACAGAAGAGATCTTTAATGAGTCTGTATATATTTTCCCTAGATGAACAATGAACCGCGCGAGACAAGGGGCACTTAATGCCACTGGATCAAATACAAGAGTGGACAAATAGTCTCCCACTTGTACCACGAAGGGTATGGTCATGGTCGGGACCCTACGTC